TTCTCTGCACAATGTGTTCCAGTGCCTCACCACCCTCAAAGTGAAAAATTTCTCCCTAATATCTAATCTAAACCTACCCTCTTCCAGTTTGAAGCTATTACCCCTCGTTCTATCACTACATGCCCTTGTAAACAGTCCTTCCCCAGCTCTCCTGTAGGCCCCCTTTAGGGATCGGAGGGCTGCTATAAGGTGTCCCCGGAGCCTTCTCTTCTCCAGGCTGAACAACCCCAATTCTCTCAGACTGCCTTCATAGCAGCGGTGCTCCAGCCCTCTGATTGTCTTTGTGGTCCTCCTCTGGACCCACTCCAACAGGGCTCTGTCTTTCCTATGTTGGAGGCTCCAGAGCTGATCCCTGAGTTACTGCACAGCACATCGCAGATTTACCTGCACTGGTCAGAAAGAGCAAGCTCTTAGGGAAATTGCACCGAAGCTAGTATGTCCTGCTCGTGAGCTGGCCTCTGGGAAAAGCAGCTTAGTTTCAATGCACCCACTGCTGTAGACACACAGCATGTCTGAGAAAGAGCTATCCCGTCTGTTTCGGTGGGTTCAGATGCTGTCAACTTGCAGCGCTGCTGCACCTGAGCTGCCAAGGACACCCATCATGCACGAGCACACTAACAGAAACCAGCCCCAAACGACAGCGTTTCCTGAACTGGTCCTTCAATTACAAACAATGACACCGCTCCTTTCATTAGTAAGATTCAACTGCAAGTCTGCTAAACACGTGTGCTGGGACAAAACCCAGAATCCCATCTGACAAATTGCATTTGTTTACTTCTCGGGGAGACTGTTCTGTGTCTTCATGACATGATGCTGGTAAAGCTAATAAAGAGGAGACCTTTATTAGATGTGACTAATGATAAAAGGGACACTAGTTCCTAACACATTTTTTTTCTAAATCCTGTTCTCCTCTCCAACTATTACTCTGTGGAAGGCTTGTGGTATAGGAATAAAGTAAGAAAAGGGAAAGTGTAAGGTGAGATTTATTGCCTGGAGTTTTTAGAGCTGTGACCTGTTATTTCATACACCCAGGCTTGGACTGGAACCTCATTGTGCTGACAGTCAGTGCACACATATTGGGGAAAAAAAGGTGGACCCTCCTCCCATGAGGCTACCATCTAAATGAAATGCAGTTTAAAAAATACCAGTGCCTGACTATATTATGGTAACATCTAAACAAAGAATTGGTTTGCACCTGGTTTTATTCATATTTATTTAGACCACTGTAGTAACCTACAGGACCAAGGAAATACAAAGGAGAGGAGATAACCTCTCACCACATAATTTCTATAATCTTAATTTCTATTATCTTAATACTTAAGAGGATTATCTTTATTTGATAGCAATATTTTTGGTTTGGTATTGAAGGACATTCTGGATGGCAGAGATCTGCAGTCTCCTTGTTGGCAAGCAGCTGGAATCGCAGCAATGATGCAATTTTTGTGTAGCTGCCGAACAAGGGACCCTCTCACTAGATTTCTTCTTTGTTGTTATTGTTCTGATCCAATTAGTCACTGCTTTGAAGTTAAGGGATCCAACTGGCATATTAGACTGAAAAAGATAGAATAACAGAAACCCAAACTGGTGGTACAAGAGGAAGAATAGAATATTTTTTATGTGAAGTGCCTCAGTAAGTCGATTGCATGCTTTAACTAAACTTTAATTGCACCAAAACAACAGAAAGCAATCAAAAAGGGTCTGTTTTGACTCATTACATACCAGAAAAGTGAGAGATGGAACTGAACTAACCCAGGAATCTGTCACCATGAGTAAGTTCCCCATGGAGCCTATTTTAGTTTTCTCATACCATAAAACATGGAAACGACAGGTCTCCAAACAACCAAAGCAGTTGATCTCTGCTATTTCCCCTTTAATCAGCACTGGTTAGGCCATACCTGCAGTGCTGGGTCCAGTTCTGGGCTCCCCGGTAAAAGACAGACACAGACGTACTGGAGAGAGTCCAGTGAAAGGCCACTAAAATGCTGAAGGGATCGGAGCACCTCTCCTTTGAGGAAAGGCTGAGAGAGCTGGGGTTGTCCAGCCTGGAGAAGAAAAGGCTCAGGGGGATCTCATCAGTGTATACAAATACCTGAAGGGAGGGTGCAAAGAGGACATAGCTGGGCTCTTTCAGTGGTGCCCAGTGCCAGGACCAGAGGCAATGGGCACAAATTGAAATACTGGAGGTTCCCTCTGAACGTCAGGAAACTGTGAGGGTGACTGAGCACCAGCACAGGCTGCCCAGAGGGGCTGTGGAGTGGCCATCCTTCGAGATCTTCAAAAGCTGCTGGACGAGGAGATAATATACTGATTCAGGACTTCCCATTCGGATGCTGGTTATGGTGCAAGAGAAGGGATGCCATATTGCGGTTTGACATAAAGGTCCTTACACTGTGTTCAAATATCAAACGTGCCTTCAGCGACAAGGCTGGGGGATGGAACAACAGGTTCTAAAATGCTGAGATGTATAATACAGAGGTGACCTTGACCTCCCTGATAACAGAACTGCTGATGACACACAACAACAGCAAAACTGCTTGTGCCCAACATAAACCAGCAGAAAATCCTTGCAAATGTATTCTAATCTGTGCATGCCTCCAGGTCCCATCCACTTTCTCGCAGCTGGTACAGTTAGAAAAATACTGAGTTATGAAACATACTGAATTATGAAATATCATTGCCTTCTTCGCTGAGTACTGGTATGCACATACTTCTCTGTTAACTAAAACCCAGCTTATCATTCTCCTCTGTACTGGTTTATAGCTCAGTTCATCACAGAAAAAACCCTACTTTTTATATGTAAAAGAAAAGAACTGTGGAACTGAACATGTTTGTCCAGAGAAGATTCTCCTGCAGGGTATGTCTACACTGCCCAATGCAGCTGAGATCTCCGGGCTGCTGCCATCACAGGTAGCTCAGACATCAGCCCCTGCATAACCATGTTAAGGTAGAGCATCATGCAAGGCATCTACTCTGAACCAAGTACCTGTACTGCTTCTCCTTGCCAATCCAGCCTGTTGAACTGGCTTTGATGTCCATAACGCTGCACTGCATTGGAACTAGAGAATGAAGTATGTGTTTTATTAAACCTCAAAATGAAAACATGCTTTTTTGTTACATGTACAATAACATTGATGTCCGAGTTAAAGAGTTGCCTACCAAGTAAATTATTCGAAGCTATCAAATGATGGACCATGAGGATTAAGAGAATGTTTATCATGTCAGATATTCAAGATGAATTTAGGCCTAGTGCTGTTTCTTTATTATCAATTTGATAATAAATTTGGATTTGATCTCTGCTTTAAAAAAAATTATAGAGGGCTGGGGCTGCAAACTCCCAAACCATGCTTTACTCCATGCTGGCAATTCTCAGTTTCTGATGATATTATACTGATTTTTATACTGACTTCAAAGAGTTGATATACCTCAACACTTTCAAGAATTTTGCCATTACCACCTCTCACCTCTTTTCTCAATAAGAACAATTAGATGAAGGTGGTTAAGAAGTAATGCTACTGTAGACTTCCAGAACAGCTGTGAATAGATGCCTATTTCAATTCATGCTATGTATTTACTGCAAATTTTATTAATTACTGCAAAAAAAAAAATTAGATACTCTAACAATTCCAGTGTGAAGGTTATGTGTTATACAGCAATAGTTTGCTTTGTCTTCAATTTAGTAGATTTAAATTAAATAGCACTTTCTCACAAACTACAGCCTTCTCATTAGCCAGGCAGAGGCATTCTGACTTGCCACACAGTTCAACTAATTGTTATCTGAAATTTATGTTTTAATTCCTAAAAATTTTAATTTCTTCATCTACGCCCACAGGCTGTCACAAACATCAATAGAAGGTGGACAATCAAAGCATTCCACCCCCTTCCCATCCTCGTTCTCTCCTTCTTCAGCCCACTATGCTCAGACGAGGATATATCACCATGCTACTCCCCTCTACAGTCAGCCCCTCAGCACCAAGCTTTAACTCCAGGTATTAAGAATACAAAGGAGTAAACAATCTTTCCACCAGCTCATGACTTCCAGTTGCTGGTTTTTCTTGCTCTAGGATTCGGGTTTGACAGCAATGTAGTAACACCCAGCAACACGCAATGCAAAATATTCTCTGTGTAAACAGTGCCTATTTTCATACTCGTTTGCTTCCTATTTTTCTTCTTTGTTTTTCACTTGGCTTGCTCACTGCTCCACTGTAGTTCTTTTTTTCCCCATTTGATCATCTCTTTTCCTGCTCCGCACTTCTACACTGTCTTCCAAACCTCAAAATAAAAAAGAAAATAAAAGCTCATGATCAGGCTTCTGAGGAATTACCTTCCAGTGAAACACCTTCTCACAAATTTTACCACACTGTCTGCCTTCCAAATAGCCCTCATTTTTTTAAAATGGCCTTCTATGCATTTCTTCATGTCACAGCCTAAACCCCTCACTCCCAATACCTTCCTACATCCACACCTTCTTTTTCATGACAGTCTTCTTTATTCTCAATATACTGTTAAGGGTTATGATCTAGACCCTGTCTTGATAATGATTCAGTAAGTGCTGAAGTGATTCCTGCCCAAGTGATTCCTCTCAAATAGGGACTGTAGACCTAAGACAGTATTATGCTGTTAATAAACAAATCTATTCAGATATAATCTTTAGTATTTTCACAATTTCCATGAGCAGAAAAGAAACATTTTGAAAAACCAACTAAACTCTCAGCAATCTACAGAGGACACTGTTCTTATTTCCCTGTAAAAATCACTGAAGTACATTCTAATGCGTTTTCCCATCCCTCAAAAAGGTGAGTTATTACATAAGTTTCATTATAAACTAGATGTAAAGCCAAAGGGCCACACAGTAACAGCATGTGTTTATATCACAATACTCACCCAATTCTCATTTGAACATGTGGCTTCTTCAATACATCAGCTGCCAGCATTTTTTACATTTCTTTATCAGGCTTATTGGAAAAAGCTGGTTTTGCTACAGGTGATTCCAAGATACTTACCCAGTCGTGTAAGGTATATTTATTCCCCCTAGATTAATGCTCTCACATCCAACAATGAAGAGAGTTGAAAAGCAGAGCAGAGACACACCACTGCAGATCATAGCCAACTTTGCAGACTCTCTCGCACCGAGTTTCAGCTTTTTTATAATGTAGCCACCTAGGACAATACCAACACCAGCACTTGGTACAATAATCACACCTGCCAGGAAGAAAATCGAGCAACATTAAAACAGGACCTATAGAAATGGTATAAAACATAAATATTGGTTTCATTCCCTAATTAGATGACTACAAATGCTGCACTAAGATCTCCATTGTCTAATTCTCTGCTAGCAAACTGAGTCAGACTTTTCAAACCTCTGGAGTGTTGTCAAAGAATTAATAAAAGCCTCCTTATGATATTACCAGCAGCCAAAGCACTATAAGAGAACTATTGTACTTACAAGCAGAAACATTGCTTTGTATTTATTTTAGAATGGGGAGAAGGGATACACATTGCTCCAGTTTAATTACTGAAAATTTGAAGAAATCCAGATTCGGACTGAAACCTTCCTCTTCCTGCTCTCATGATTAATTCCAGTGAAGCACAAGCGTTAACCTCAGGCAGGACCCCAGAAGCCTTCCCACTTGGGAGCGCACAAGTGAGCCTGGCTGCAAATTCTGCCTTCTGGATACTTTACTCAAGCTGAATAGCACTTTCCTACATTGGCAGCCCCATTCATCTCAGCAGAGCCATGTGGAGTGCAAACTCATTGAACATGACTAAAGAAATGAAGATACTAGAATTAGTATTAGGGTAAGTTTAAGACACAAAGGACATGCCTATGAAATTTCTGTCGCTCTGCTGCTGCAGTTATAAGGTGGCAGTTCAGCAACATGTCACCGGGCTGTCCTCACTTCCCAGGGCCGGAGGTGGTGTTGTCAGCGATTGTCTTGCACTTCTTAGCTTCCCTTGGCTTTTGCTTCTCGCTGACATGTGAGAAGGTCTTTAAATAAGGCCTTTGCTAATAAAGATGCATTCCACATAAATATGGAATTTGAACAACTTGTGGAAGCTGCATTTAGGGAGCTAAACTTTATAATCCAAATTCTTAAAGATGTTGGTCTTCTTTTTAAAGAAGCCGGTAAGACTATCACTTGCAAATATCTTCAATATTATTGGAAAGCATTCTCATTCTCTGCTAATTTGTCTAAAGGTGATATATTTATCAAAATGCTGAGATCGTGAAAGTAAAAATAAGAGGTAAAAATAGTTGCCATCTAATTATACTGTCATCACCAATGGCATTATAAAATAAAATGTCATTTCATGAGGCAGATACTTAATAATAACCCTTCACAGACTCAAAACCAGTCCTTCTCATAAGAGCAGAATTTAAATGTATAAGTCCTTCTAGGAGAATTAAATGATTTTCACAAAGTTCAAAGCTGTTATCTCGCTCAAGCTGTTATATCTCTCACTTTCAATGACTGAATAAGAACAAGGGAAAGAAATAATGCAAATCCTTTCACTTGCACTGAAAATGTTCTCTCTGGGTGAAAATGGTAACTCAGCCATCTGAGTCTACCAGGCATGCCCTGCTCTGCAAAATCTGTGTCAGAGAAGCCCACATCCACGCTGAAGGCAGACTGCAATCACTTGCAACACCTTCTAAAACATGCCTGCCAGGTGAATCAAATTCCATGGACCAAATCCACAGCGGCATCAGTTATATGAACTAAGGACCTAGCCCAAGGTAAGGGCTTACTGCCAATAAGTTAGTCTCAGTATTTTATTCTTCTTCCTTCCACCTTATAGCTTAGTTTTCAGTTCTTAACCTCTTTTGGATCTGAATTTACCTTTTTTTTCTTATCCTCTTGAGGGCAGGGATATTGGAAAAGTCTTTCACTGGAACTAAGAATCTGTCTGTCTATGTCTAGTACCTTGTCAAAACTGAGCATGTAAATATTTTGCGAGACATTAGATTAGTGGTTCTCCCACTAGTGAATTACATTGCGCTGCCGTTTTCATCCATCTTTTGCCATACCATGAAGATCAGAACATTAAAAATGAGGAGAAGAACACGAGCAAATTGCCCGCCAAGGCACGGTCTCCTTCAGGAGGATGGAAAGGTAAAGAAAAGCCTACACAGAAGAAGTATAAAGACATATTCCTCCATGCAGAGTGGGACTGGTGATGGAAAAACTCGGGGGGAAACTGGAAGGGCAAGAGCGGATTTCACTGTTTGTGGTGAAAGCAGTAGAGAGAAATGCTCATTCCCTCCTACGTGTCAGGAAGTCTGACAGGTTTCTTTTGCCCTAAGTACAAACTCTTCATCCTTATTTCCCTCTCTTTCTGCAGGGGATGTGAAATCAGAAGTGATGTACTGTCAAAGAAATGCAGCTACTACAGGGCACTTCCAGACAAGCTTCCAGGGCAAAGCAAAGCATGTACATCTAATCAGGACATGCATTCTTCTTTTTCAAAGGTATTTAGAGGAATAAAGCTTAAGATCTGATACTAAGCTGTTGCAGTGCACTCTCCTTCATTTTATGACAGTTTGGCTTACAGGAATTGTGCGTGTGCCAAACACACTCCTGGGTACAGTGCTTTGAGGCAATATCAGATTTCAGTCAGCAATTTTCAAGCTTTGTCCTTTTTGCTGTTGTCAGGATGCTGCGGCACTTGAGGCTTTCCACAGCAGCAAAAGATGATCTTAACAGCTACTAATAGTCTGGGAACAGAAAACTGCAATATCTGCTAAGCGGGCTACACTTCCAAAGGGAATATCATGGAGATCTTCAAACCAATTCTGTCTGAGATACATGCTATTTCTTTTCTAGAACTAAAGGTAGATCCAATGTGTTCATAACCATTTTAGCAGAAGTTACCAGACCTATATAGATTATAAAGTGGTGTTTTATAATATATAGTGTGCAGTTCTTCCAATTACATATTATTTGAATTGTAACTCTCTTTTTTACAAGTAAATCCACTAGCAAAGCACCCGAAATTTTAACGTGGATTTGTCTAAGGTCTACCTGCAACCAAAAGTCAAAGTTCTTTTTTTGTTTTTGGACTTGAGAAAGCCTGGAGGCTGAATGCCACCTACTCTACAAACAGAAAACAAAACTCCAAAAAAGACAAGACCGCACCATAAGCAAGTTCAAGACGTGAAGTTTGGCACACAGTGCTTTTGCTGATGATTAATGCCAGGTTTGTTTAAAAATAGAACAAATTGAGATTTAATTGAAGAATTCCTGAATTGAGACAGAAAATGACCAATAAAAAATCCACATCAGTAACATAAAGAGATTCAGCAGGCACATGTACTCAGCTGGTGATGTACATATGAACTATAGATGTAGTAATATAAATAACACATAAGTCCTCCTTTTGCTAACCAGAAGTTTGTAAACTGGACATGTCTTTTCCTAGATTTGCCAGTAGCAATACAGAATCTCCAAGTTTCCTTTTCCCATTTTTCCTACTAGAAGAATTTATAAAATTAATAACAACTGTTGACTTTAATGCTAAGTTTAGGAATTGAAGTTGTGGAAGCAGTGCTCACTTGTTCGTGTTGCGCATCCAGCTATTTCATGGTCTGCTTCTGGTTCACTGTAATAGTCTTTATCAAGCAATTTATAACAGGGAAAACAACAGATGTTAATAGCTTCACACCCTGCATAGGGTCATGTCATCTTTTCCTCTTTTAACGTACTGGCTGTTGAATATTTTGTCTGGCAAGAATGTTTCAGATTTAACCTGAGAACAAAGCCAGTTACGGAGCAGCAATCTCGTCAAGACTCATTACAGAAAAACTTCTATGCGTGTGTAGCTACCCTAAGCTTTAGATAGAATCACAGTCCCATCAATCAATATTTCCTCTTCACATACAGAACACAGGGACTTCATGCTCTGAAGAAAATCTCATGCCAGCAAGCTCTCAAACATACGTCACCACATGGTGCTTCTCTGATATTTCCCCTCCACACCCTAAAAAGACTCCTCACGTTTCTTCCAGCCATTGCAGGTGACAAACGATTCCCATGTGAGGTGTGTGTGTCTTTGTCTCTCTTTCTTCTGCTACTTTTTGTCTTTTCCTTGACTGATGCTCCGGGGCAGCTTCACCCCATAATTCACCCTTGTTCCCAAAACTCACTCTCCACTCCATCACTCCTTCTCAGGAAAAATATCTAAATATCTAGACGTATGAGGGAGCAAAGAACTAACCTGCCTAGCTATTAGCAGCTATTTTATATGGGAAGCATTATGGAGAAGTCAAAAAGATGTTTATAAAGACAAGTGTCTTTGAGGCAGCAAGGAGAGAAGGGACATGATCTGCATGACATGGGCCCCAATTCTGCACAACATTTTGGCCCCTTTCCCTAGGGAAGTTCCCATCTCTCCCTCCTGTGGAGCAGTATGAAGCTTGAAATTTTGTGGTTTGTAGCTCTGTTAGAAGTTGGACTTGGCCAACCTGCTGTGGCAGCAGGGAAAGTTCCACACCTGCAAAAGATGGGCCTCAGACCTGCAATGGCAGAGGGGAGAGGATTTGGGGAGCTCTCCTGACTAGACCAGATCCTGGTGCGCTCAGTGTTAGTACGTAAATAAGGAGAAAACCACCAGCCTGGAAGGGAGAGATAACTGAAGGATGGGACAGATAAACAACTCATCACTGGGGAAAAAGAAAGATTAGTATATTTTAAAGACCAAAGATGAAGTAAAATTCACATAAAATAAGAACAGCTTTAAAAGACCTTTTAAGGCACACAAACCGCAATAATGCCTGTGGGTTTTCTAGCTTCTTTTTGTTGTATTTTTCCGCCCTGAAGACCATTAACATGTCTGTCTAGGCTTACGTAAAAAAAAACAGCTCTTTAACAATATAAATGGGTTCACGTTTTACTAAACACATATAGCAAATATCAAAGAACAGCTTGAATATCTAAGCAAATAGCCGAAGCTGTGTCCAATCACCTGTTCTGACAAGCACATTTTTGGTTCATTCCTACATTGATTCATTTCATTAGTCAAAGAACGCCAACGCTTTCAACGTTACACTACGTGGCAACGCCTTACCAGTGTAGATGCTGGCATTGGAAGCTGGGATGCCAAACTGTGACTCGATGAACTTGGGAATGAAGGTAATAAAAGCTGTGACAATGGCACTCTCAGCTGTGTATGACAAACTCACAAAAAGGAATGTCATGTTGCTTAAGATCCTGACAGCTGCTCTTGGAAGCTCTACAAAATGACAAAAATGACAAACGAATGTTATAAATAATGAGTGAGGAACAAAAACAAACTGAAACAAAACAAATTGATTTTCTTTGAGATGGACTGGCAATAATAGCTTGCTAGCATCTGGCTACATTTGCTAAGCGGAAGGGAGAGTGCATAGTTGGGATTGCAGTCTTCGCTGTCTGCTCTTCCCCTATCTCACTGCATCGCCCCAGGGCTGCAGTCCCACTTTTCACAAACACAACTGAGGTCTGTTTTAACAAAACCATCTGAAGAAACAGGGTTTACATAGTAACACTATAAAGGAGAGAAAAACAGCAATCAAATGTAGCGATTTTGGAATTATTCTGATGTCTTATTTTGAAACTACAAGATAATGCATATCACACTGCATAACTGACAGTACTGAGTTTTGCACTCCACAGGAGGAAAACAGATCACATACTCCCCCTGCAAATCTCTGCTTCAAGAACAATGCTTGGAAAGCTGGGATAATAATACTATAATTTGAAAAGGAAAATCTTTGAAAAAGATTTTTAATTAAACATTTTTCTACATGATTTAAAAGTATTTATAATAGATGCAGACAAAGCATACTGAAAAAATTATGTCAATGATGTCAACAAGATCAACAAATCTCAAAACACCTTACATACAGCTTATATAATATTCTCAGAATGGACAAAAACAATCAAGTAAAAATGAGAGCACATCATTAGCTTAAATGGAAAAAGTATTCATAGATGTTGCATTTATCCTCGAATCAAATATCAAAACCCCATGAAATTCAGCACTGTAGTTAAAAGAAACACTGAAATACTTTTAATTCAGTCCTGTAGTGATGTCAAAATTATCATCACAAGATGATGATAAGTCTATTCAAGACTTAATTTTTTTCAGATTAGATAGTGTGATTTTTAACATGTATTTTTTTCCTTGGTGCTTCTACTAAGATCAGATTTTCTGTTCAAGTATTATATCTAACCTACTATGGGTTGGGTTTTTTCATTCGCTTTTCACTTCATACAGAAATTGAAAGCTGATTGAATCAAAGCCCACTGAATTCAACCACAAGAGCGGCCATTAGAAATACAACATGTTGAGTAAGAACTCCTGAGTGAGAACTTTATTGATGTTAAAAGTTGTCAAGTCAAAAATCTGTCTCACTTTCTCCATTGACTTCAGTAGGTTATCTGTATAAAAGCAAACAGAATTTAGACTCTTGTCATGTCAAAACTTGTCAGGCTGCTAATTAGCACCTAAGTTGTCTGACTGCATGCAGTCTTAGCTTATGCCAGTCGTCAAAATTTATACTGAATTCATTATGAGTACAGGGTTTATATTTTTAATGTAGTCAAATGCTCTCTTGCTGCCTCAATGAAGAAACATATTAAATGTTAAATACAAAATTTGGTGGAAATAAGTAATGAATAAATCATATTAAGAAGCACTCATATATTTGAATCTTAATGTTTTTTACCACCTACAGCTTTTTTTTAAAAAAAAAAAAAAAAGTGGCACTGTTCCCAACAGAGGAACAGAAAGAAACAAGATAACAGGAGTATGAGACCATATAATATCAACATGGATATATGGAAACTGTAATGCAACTGTACACCTTCAGAAACTACATTACAGTAGCAAGTACAAAGATAAAATAGTACCAGTATTTATCAGCAAATATGCTGCATGTTGAAAATACAGCTGACCAAAATTTATCTCATTGTTCAAAAGGAAACGAAAGAGAGAAAAAAATGAAAGACCTACAATACCATCAGACGTCAGCCCTCAAACCTCATCAGCTTTACCTTCGTGTCTATTTTGGGGTTGGGTTTGGTTGGGTTAGCTGATGGGGGCTTAGATGCAAAAAGAAACCAAAGGGCAAGAGCCAAGGTGCTGTAACCCAGCTTTCACAGAGCCTCCCAGGGGACTACATAACACAGTTTACGAAAACGGTTGCCACAGGGCTGCAGCGGGGCAGCTGTAGCAGGATTTCACCAGGGACAAGGTGCAGGACTTGAGTGCTTCTCCCCCTGCAACAGGAGCAAGCGGTTACAACTGTGCTGCTGCCACCGTGAGAAAGGAGTCCGAAAACAGAACGAGGGGGTGCCAGGATAAGTCCTGCTGGAAACTGAGCTATTTGGTGGCAGCTGCTCACCTGTACTGAAAACATGTGGAAGGAAATAATAATATAGTAACTTTCAGAAGACTGGACATCGAGATAAATGCCATTTTATTAGGATGATGAACTAAGCGCTCTCTGTAGAAATGAACTGGAAGTCCTTGGCCAAGGGCTGAGTCCAAGATCTTTGTTAAATCCATTATTTTAGGGGGCCTGGTCCAAATATCACAATATCTGGTAAAGTTTAGGTCTTCCTGGCAAAACTGAGCTTCAGGAAAATGTGTGGCTTAGAATTTTTGAGCTAAAGATACTGAAGAACTGATCAGGTAATTAACTGCAGAGCTAACAAACATTTTGCTCTGGCGTTCGGATCTAGAGCTGCGCTTTCTCTGTTGACTCCTACTTGTGTCTAATCTCAGCACTCAGTCTAAAGGTCATTATTAATTTCAAAACTAATTAGTATTTTCAAATTGGATTTCTACTGATAAATAGATAAAACTCAGTGTCTTGGAATAAGCACAAGCTCTCTTACACTTGTGTGAAGTATTCTTCAGGGACCAGCTCTGCTGATTACTGTAATTTTTGGCATGAAATAAAAGAGAGATTATTCCTGCATGCTGCGCTAATACATACCACCTGGAGCAGTTGAGGGTTGAAGCTCTGTGACTTATAAAACACAACTGTCTGGCATACAAGGAAAAGTTGCTACTTAGTAAAGAAATTTGCAAATAAAAATACATATGCAAAATCAGGTTCCCCCTGATTTTGGCCTATGACTATAGTCAAATCCTGTGTGACAGAATGTGTATTACACTTCTGAATTTAAAAACCTACAATAAAAAGGCACTATAAGTATCTCATATCTTTCAACCACACTAATTCTAGCAAAAATCAGGAATGCTGAAAACTTCAAGGATCCTTTGTACTACATAATCAATCACGCATTTAAAACATTTCAACGTCACGTTATTTTTGTTTAACTAGGATTTGATTTCAAGGCTATTATTAAACCTGTCAGGTTCTGATTTTAGGAAAAAATCAGGTCTTCAAAAAACATCTCATTTTTGCAAGAGAGCCTCAGAAGTAAACCAATGATCTTTCAGTATGGCTGCAAACATGCTTACTCTTCTGTACAGTAATTCAAATTTTAAATATCTTCATCTCTTTTTTTTTTTATAAATAAACAAATACATAACTAAGAGTAAATTGAAACCTGCCTTGCTGACTGGTTTGCTAGTCTACTGGAAATTTGCTTCCTTTCATGGTCTTTGACAATATTTCTTCTCTAGTCAGTATTCATTTTCTTTCACTAGTGTGCTGGACCACTGCTTGACTTATGGTAATGGAAAAGCATAAGAAAAATATGCAAGCAATAGAAATATTCGTAAATACTGCTCTAAGCAAAACTCTTAAAGCACTGTAAGCAGAATTTCAATAAAAACTCCAATAATTCTGACTTCACCTCTTTTTTCATATATTTTCTTTTATGCCTGTTCCTGTGCATCTAGCCCAAGGTGGTGCAATGAACACAACCAGGGGAATAAACCATTCCAGTCTACAGCACCGTCCTCTTGTACTACATCAGCTAAGCCCCTTGTAAGGGTGATACAGATATGAGCCAAAGGACCTCCCTTCTGCCGGTGCTCCACGCCTGGACGGCACTATCCAAGTCTGCAGCTTTGAAGGAGGCTGCTTCCACACCGAGGTCTCAGGAGCAGCTTCTGCTCTCACACAGAACACGGCAGAGCCAAGATTTGAGAAAGAATTTCTGGTTTGTTTATCAGAATGGAAATGAGCATTTTCAGTCACACATGAGTACTTCAAATATATCTTGCATGGAGCTAATCACCAAATTCTAGAATATTTTGCCACATATTTCATTTCATTATCTACTCATACACCATTTAAACAACCTCATTCAACTCGATTCCTCAAGCATTTTCAGGACATGCCTCAAGTACCCGAGTGGTAGCCACACCACTGAACAGCTCTTAATATCCTATCAAGAGTAGGTAGGTCCGGAGCGAGTTTGATCTGATTATTACTTTTATTAACTTGATTTAGAGCAGCTCCTCGAGGCTCCAGCTAACACTGCTCGTCACTGCATGGGGCCATGCCAACCTCTTCTATTTTGAGCTCTTCAAGATGGCCTAAGAAAGGGCGAGGGGGGAGTGACCCGCTCAAGGTCAGCGGCACAGCAGGATCTCCAGCCCACAGTCTGCTGAAGTCTCTGACATCTACCACGCTCACCAGGCACCCCCGCACACAGACCAGTGTCTCCTCCTCCTCTTCCAATCCCTGCCAACTAATCTTTGGGTACTACTGAAACTCCAGTCCGGATCCTGTGATGGGGGAGCACTTCAGTGGACTTACCCTACAGGCACGACCTCCTCAGGAGTTTCTCTTACCCTTGCTGACACCCCGACATGCATTATTACCCTCTCTCCATCCCCAGCAGGGACTGACTGGGAAAGGCACACGACAGCTGGGAGGCGTGAAAAGGCGTACAGGAATATTCCACATTTAAGAAATGACTGCGCATAGGGACAAAACTCAAAACGGAGGCGTGAAAAGGCGTACAGGAATATTTAAGAAATATATTTAAGAAATGACTGTGCATAGGGACAAAACTCAAAACATTAAATAGTAAACCAAAGACTACAAAATACAAGTAATTAATTAACACCCTTCAGATTAGATCTGTACATTTTAGGTAATACATACATTGGTTTTCTTTACACTGCTCCTTTATCCAACTGCACAGTAAGTTTCATTATAGCGGTAAATAAAAGGGACTGCAGATACAATTTCCATGGCACCAAACCCTAAGGGTATCCATGTAATAAATCGTAACAGTGGTTTTGTCTGATCAGGTTCATGATTTATCTGCATGTATGGGACTGAACTGTAGCTTCTTCATTATAAATCTCTTCTAGCTCATGTTATCTACACTACCTCTATTTCTCCCAATAAACTGCATCCAATTTTCTTCCTCCGGTAACCTATTTAATGTTTTATTTAATACTTTTGATACCCGCATCAGAAAAAATCTCCCTCTCAACATTGTTTACTTGCAACATAAATAGGAAAAGACTGAATTCCAAGCCCTTACATCTCAACAAATGTGAAAAAGCAAAGACACATACATGTATTTTTATCTGATCCCAGCTCTACCATGGGCCAAAATAAAGCTCAGGTCATTGAAATTGGAGGTTTGCAGCCAGAGCCAGTTTTGGTTTATTTCTTCAGCCTATAGTGGCAGCCATTGCAAGAAAAAGGACCCCATCCCTCTCCTGTCATGCCTTTTCAATTCCTTTTCATTCACCTAGAGAACTAACTTAGGTTAAATTGGGACAAGTTACAGCAGGACAAGAATCATTTTGCCAGGCTTCCCAGGTAAGACAACATCATATCAGAAGATCAAAACAAACAGCTTCTTCCACGCAACTTCCCTTACCGAAGCTGCACAGATTTTACAGATTTAATGGCACTGACCTCTGTCATGGCAGACTACGACATCACTGATATTTATTAGTACAGAACAGAAGACATGACCTACTAAATCATCAGTCTCCCAGTTACTGCCTAAGTGGAGTTTCTGCCCATCATGCTATAAAAAGATGAAGCCCTGAAATTCAATGGGAAGTATAAAATGTACATTGCATCTCAGAAGAAGCAATGCTAAATGACTTAGACACATGCGATCCTTTTTTCCTTCCCATTATAAATGAAATTACCTCAACTGAGAAGCTTGAGGCATGATCTCATTCCATAAAGCTCACTTAAACTTGAAAAATAATTAAATGATAGCGCATTCCTG